AAGGGGCTCCGCAAGCCTATTTTTTTCTGATGATCTGCCTTAGCTTATGACAAACAAGACAAGTTTTCAAATAAGCTGCAATGTCGTGCCGTATTTGAGGCCAGTAGTATACACGTTGTACTAGTGTAGCAGTGTGTTCCTCTCTGGGATACTCTGCCAAATAGTGTCTGACATTCTGTGATTAGTGATTTCCTCAAATCTCCTCCCTTAGGGACATATAGGTAGTCTCCCTTAATCTTCACTAGATCCCATCGAGCCAGAACTGTCGAGTTTTGCCCAGGTTGATGAAGTCAACCAAATATTGAGTAGTCGGGGTCCTTATCCAAAAGCACCCGAATTTGGTCCCTTGTATTTGTGGTAACCGTGCTTCCTGAGAGAGCAAATGGTGGCCAAGTCGACCGGCGACTAAGAGCATCGGCAACATGATTACTAGATTCGGGACGGTACTCTAGCATGAAATTGAACTCTGAAAAAGTTCCTGCCAACGAGTCTGTTTGGTTGATCGTTTCGGTTGGAACATGAAGTGACTAACCGCAGTATTATCTGTCTTCACAATAAATGGAGACCCAAACAAATAGTGACGCCATCCCCTAAGGCAATGGACTACCACCAACAACTCATTTTCGTGCACCAAGTAACGTCGTTCTGCCTGATTCAGCTTTCGGCCCTCATACGCTACCGGATGTCCTTCTTGCATAAGGACTCCACCAAGTACAAAGCCTGAAGTATCGATATGCACTTCGAATGGTTTAGTCATATCCGGTAAGGCTAACACCGGGTTCGTCTACATTGATTTCTTCAACCTTTCGAAATCACTTTGGCATTGGGATGACCAGTCCCAATCCTTATCCTTCTAAAAAGTATTTTGGTATTGGGATGACCAGTCTCAATTTTTATCCTTCTTTGTCAATTCGGTAAGTGGCAATGCAATTTCGATAATAATTGCATAATCTAATAAACGAACGTACATCGTGTACATTATTTAGTGGTTGTCAATCTTTGATGGTTATAACCTTCTTCGAATCTATACGTATTTTGCCTTATTCAATGATGTGACCCAAGAAGTTGATAGACGTCTGAGCGAATGAGTATTTATACAGTTTGGCATAGAGTTTATTCTCTCATAGCCGATTGAAAACCTATCTTACATGTTGCACATGTCCCTCTAATGTCTCGCTATAGATTACTGTATCGTCCAGGTACACTACCATAAAATCGTCCAAGAACCCGTGATCATAGTACAAAACGTTGCTGGAGCGTTTGTTAAGCCAAAGGCATCACCTTAAATTCAAAGGCTCCATATCTTGTTACCACCGTAGTTTTTGCTTCATCTCCCTCTTTGATCAGAACTTGCCAGCATTCGGACTTGAGATCAATCTTCGTATAGTATCTCACCCGACTCAATCGATCGAAGCAATCTACGACTATCAGAATAGGATAACTATTCTTCACGGTGATCTTATTCAAGGCTCGATAGTCTCAGGACATTCTAAGAGAACCATTGGCCTTTTCTGAAACAATACGGGAGCTCCATATGGTGATTTCGTAGGCACGATAATCCCACCTTCCAACATTTCTCCCAATTGTTTCCGAAGTTCTTCAAGCTCCGACCGAGACATACGATGGGTACCCTAGTAGGAGGTTTGGCACCTAGAATAAGTTCAATCTCAGGATCAATCACCCTCCTTGGTGGCAATTTCTTTAGTAGCTCATCGGCATGATGTCCTCGAACTCTTTAATAAGTCTTCTAACAGGTTTTGGAATATAGTGAGTTGTCTCTTCGATCTCCTCTAATCGAAGTGTGCACAAAGATGATGATTCATTTCTTTTGAAACACTTATCACATTGCATGGCCGAGATACGCTTCTCGCCTATCTTCCCAACTTGTGTGTAGTAATGACGCGCGATTTACTACCCATCATCATTAATGAATTGGAATATGGCAGCACTGTTGTCTTAGTGTCCCGAAGAAATTTCAATCCCAAAAGAAGCTTGAAGTCATCCATCTGAACTGCAGACAAGTTTGTCCTTCCCTCGAAAGGACCCACTTTGAGCAACACAGATTTCGCTACTGCAGTTATTGGTTAAGCAGCGAAGTTAATTGCTTTGACCTTTCTACTACCTTCTCCAGAACAAGTCTGAGTCACTCCACTTCGGTACATACGAGGTAGTTGTGGGTAGCACCAATATCTACCATAGCCCTGACTGGCTTTCCATTGATTTTCACATCAATGTACATTAGGTCTTTGGCCCTACAAATGAAGCTTTCGATTCTTCCATCTTTACCTCTTTCAAGGGAACATCACTATTTCCAATAGCTCGGTGCGATAGTGTATTGCACCGATGTGAGAATGCGCCAACTACATCCTCATTCTCTTCCTCTTCCGAGTCGGTCTCGTCGTGACAGCTAGCTTGTGGGACATTTTGCTTTGAACTCATTTCATCACTCGCTAGTTGACAATATGCATTCACCATCCGTTTTTCAGGACACCCGTCACCCGATGGGGTCCTTTACATAAAAATCACATCAATTTAAGAGTGGCTTAAATCCGCCCTCCTTTGCCTTTCCTTTATTCCAGTTTTTATTGTTGCTGCCGTTATAGTTTCCTTGACGACTATTTCGATAATTCCCTTAAAAGTTACTCTGATGGGTGACTTGATAGGCTCTTCCCTTATTATTAGAATAATGCTCTCCCCAATTTGAGTTTGAGCTGGGTCTATAAGGTCTGCTTCCACCTCCAATAGCTTGACTATTCCCTGAATGTCGATCTTTTCTCGACTCGGGTTGATAGTCACTTAAACATTCGGGGCTCCCATGGCCGTGTTTAAATCAGTAACCTTCTGTCTCTGAAGTTCCATGCGTGTCCACTGTTCCAACCCTTCCATGAAAGTGAATAGCTTATCATTTTTCAACATGTCTCGAATATTCAGCATAAGCAGCTCCAATAGCTACGCTTAACTCAGTGACCTTCTGTCTCTGAAGTTCCGTGCGTGCCCACGGTGCCAACCCTTCCATGAAGGTGAATAGCTTGTCCCTTTTTGACATGTCTCGAATATTCAGCATATGCCCTGAAAAGGATTTCACGTACTCCTTGATGGAGTTTGTATGCTTCAATTCTCGTAATGCCCATCGTGCCTAATATTCCACATTTTTTTGGGAAAAACATAAATCTGATCGCTTCTTTGAGGAGATCTCAATAATCTATTCA